CAGGCAACCACTAGCCACAAAAAGCATGAGAAATACCACTAGAAGCACCTTGGCCCAATAACGAATACCGCAAATTTTACGAAAAAGTTGTACCCCGCAGACAGTCCCCGACTTAAGAGTGCTATTTCTGTAAAATTTACAAGAGGCTATTGGGATGGAGACAGGACAACACTGGAAGCCAAAAAGAAAAAAAACAAACAAGCAACAAAGAAACAAAGACATAAATGAAGCCAGCTTTATTGTATTCTCGATTGCATTATTTTTTAAGCATTTGAGTCATAGAAGCCCTGGAGACACAATCGCAGTTTAATCCGGAAAGAACGCACTCAGACAATTAACGAAGTTAGCAAAAATGCATTTTACAAATTATTCCGCCTGCTAGGTTTCTTATTTACAAATTAGCAATCGCACCTTAAGTGAGGATAAATAGTTAGCCCAAAGGAAACCCAGAGCGTTTGTAATTCGGTAGTAAATGTAAAGGTTTATGTATTAATGGGAATCCTAAATAAACGTTTAAGTATCTTATTTGTTGTGTCTTGTACTTTTGTTCAACTTCCTTCCCAGGGTCCTTTTTCATCCTGTCTTTCGTTGTAGAAAGAGAAAGGGCCCTGGGGATCAGAAACCAGAAGACACATTACAGTCCGCTTATTCAACTGAAACACTCAGTAAAACAAGACTGGGTTAAAATTAAAACCAATTTTTCACTTGGTTAGACTGGTGATTTCGGTTCGAAGACAGGGTATAAGCAGTTCTGTCTTTAAGGGGAACGCATAGGGGTGGGGCAAGGGTGGCCACCAATCGTTTAAATATCCCCAGAGTACCCTGCACCCTCACTTAAGTCAAACTGAAGTTCCGATTATTTGCGGACGAACAATAATTAACAATGATACAGTTAATTCTCTCTAAGATGGACACCTTTCGGACCGGCACCAAGTGTCCGCCTTAGAGGGATATCCGTCTTATTGAGAGTCAAATAGGGGTAGTAAAGAAAGGCAGGGACCACCTCTAGGTGTCCGTTTTACAGAGACGTCCGTCTTATAAAGAGTCAAATAAAGGGAGTAAAGAAAGGCAGGGACCAACTCTAGGTGTCCGTTTTACAGAGGCTTCCGTCTTGTAAAGGTAACTGTTAAGAGAGAGTCGACTGTGTAAAGTTAAACTGAAACTCCAATTACTTCAGTGCAGATCTAGACGAACAAAAACAATGGACACTTAAGATGGACACCTTTCGAACCGGCACTAAGTGTCCGTCTTAGAGAGATGTCCGTTT